CTCACCTGCTTCTCCCAATCAATGTATCCCTCTTTGTGATTGATAATTGTGTACATTCAGTGCCAGATTGACATGAATACAAGTGCAATTCCAATTCCATTCAATTTGTGGCTGCTTTCTGTGTGTAATTACTGTCTGATTTGCCAAGGCAGCAGCAGATGCGTCTTGGATTGACTTCTACGAAAACTCAGTGAATGAAGAAGAATGCAGTCCAGGGCTGGGAAGAGATCACATCGCTTAAAAAAGAGATTGTAAGTAGAAATACTTGTAAAGACTGATCATCAAAACATTTACTGAGGCTTCAGTCCTGCTTTTAAGTGATGTTAAGTGCTCATTACATTCCAACGTAGCCTCAATGGCTTAGTTATATTATTAATGGAATACGAGTCATTAACCAGAAATAGAAATGAGGAACATGAACAAGCAATGAAAAAAGGGACGTAAGATGAAAAAAAACAAAAAAAAAACAGCTGAAATGGGACAGAGAAGCTCAGCTCTGAGTGCAACAGGTGAAGACAGGACGGCTTTGATTGATGTCTCATTAGAAAACCGAGGTAAGGGCAGCCGAATGCAACTGATGACTTATCAAAATAATGCAATTGCAAGCCTGTTCATGCAGTTCATAAACATGAAGTATAACGAGCCGTTGAGCAGAATACCAACTCCCTATATATTTGCTGCTATCCCTGCTCACTGTAAAATATCTGCTTCTGTTTTTTATTGGTTTGAATACTTGAAAAAAACGTGTGTGCATCCCTCCATGAGACACAATCCATAAATGGAGAACATTCTTGATAAATCAAAGTAGATGGCCATGTTTAACTGCACACTGTATCAAAACATCTGTTTACAAACTCTCATTAACTCATGCAATATAATGCAAGACTTATGTATCCGGTATTGTGTCGAGAACTTCCTGAAGTAGTAAAGCTTTTTAATGTATACATTAAACTTGGATTATACTTCATAAATAGTATACTAAATGTGCAATATTTTAAACACTTAATTTAAAATAGTTGTTGCTGTTGTAGAATGTGAGTTTAGCTATAATCCATTCAAAATGTTTATTTCTGTTAAAAGGTATGCATAAAAGAAAATCATAATTTAAAGCTAACACAGGGTGAGTAATTAAAAATAGGTAATTTTGCAGGTGAAGTATTTCTTTAATATATTTAAATGATGTCCCCAGATACAGTGTTTTGTTGTGCACTCATTGTTCCTTTTAATATGTGTGTGATTAGCAGATGCAGAGGATATTATTCAAACTGATTTAAAGTGTGCTAACTCATCATAACTCACAACTCCATCCAACATTTGCAATATTGTCCCTTCTTATATGTTAACATAGTACTAAGTATGAAGAAAAAGCTGACTTGCTAGTCCAAATCAGATAACAGGCCAATCTGTAAGAAAGTCCAGGATAAATGTGTCCCAAACAAGACACAATATGCATAGTTTCTACACTTTCTGATAAGTAAAAACAGTTTTGTTGTTCTGTAGTGGCAACAGCAGCATGCAAAAGATCAGAGTAAGTGCATATTGCTCTGTGATTTGTTGTGTATATACACTGTGAATATAATTAAATTCTGGGATTATTCTTGGGATGAATTTCCTTAGTGGTTAGAGTGGAGCTTAGTGGATGTTTAACATGCTCACAGGGAAGGAAATAAAACATGACGATAAATAATTAATGAAATACAAAAGACAATTATTTAAGGATTACTAGAGCTGCGGCTAGGGGAGACTGCATCATCCCATTTAGGAAAAGTGCATTCAGCCAGGCTGTCTTTTCATTCCACGCATCCCATCAATGGAATTCAATACCACAACCAATAAGAGAATCCTCATCCTACTACACATTCAAGCACAGTCTTAAAAAGTGGCTCATTAATAATCAACAGTGTCAGCACTCATGTGTGGGTGTCGGTGTTAGTATGGGAATATTGTGCACATTGTGAATGTTTTATTTATTATCATGACTTGCTCTTATCTGTATTCAGTGACGTCATCTATTGTAAATATGTACATTTTGTATTTATTTTTATTTTTGGTATAACAATGTCGTGGTATTTGTATTATTGCTTTTAGGATGTCAATTACCATCTGGCAAAGGGACTATCGGTGAAAACTAGCCTTTTGGCTAATTTGAGTACTTTTACATGTTTGTAATATGTTGATTAATGTACACTGTCCCTTGTTTTAAATAAATAAATTCAATTCAAGCATTAGCAATACATCTCTTTACTGTTTATTTCTGGATTGTGTAAGACTCATTTCAGAGAGAAGAAAGTGTGTTTTTTTCCTGATGCTTTTGGCAAGGAAAAGCAGCCCATTAAGTGCTAGTGAGCACACTTTTTTTTAAAAAAGCATCCAGTAATTAATTTCGTAAAACAAACATTACTACACCATACCTTGACTTTTATGTGCTTTCCAACACGATGTAAAAGCAGTGGGAAACAGTTGTGTTAACTTGATAAATCATATTCAAATGCCCATGAGACTTCAAAGCCCTGGCTCTAAATCTCCTCTCTGTCATCTCTCGGTACAGGATGGAAATTGATAGATATTTTAGTCTCTGACCAGTGCAATGTAATTGCAATTCTGCAGCCTAGTTTCAGACTGTGTATGAAGTCATTTTAGATAGCGGACAATATTACGAAGGACCAATTATACCTACAAACAATGGGAGATATTTCTGACCAGAACAGGCCATGATTGTCCGCCGCTTTTATGTAAGAACAAATCCATTTGTTTGTGACATGTACAAGCCCACAGGAAATAAATAGGTTGTTTTCCAAAACTAAGCATTTTAAAAGCTCAGAGGCTCAATTGTATAAGCTGAGTACCAACGTCTGATATTAAAGAAGCGTATGTGCAGCATAGCTGTTTAAGATTTAACTTGAAGTACACATAGATATTCAAAATAGGGAGTATTCAAATACACTGTTGAGAGTTTTGAAGATTTTTAATAAATGCTCAAGTATGGTCTAAGAGATGGATATGTAGATGGAGGTATTGACACCATCCAACATCTCACTTATGGTCAACAGAGTATTTATGGTCATCTCTTTGGGCGTCATCTACATGTAATCTAGCAACATCATGAGGTGAAAATTGCAGTTGGACCAATACTTTGTTTGATGAACAAATTCCAACAAATCTTTTCCATCTCATTCCATTGGCCCTAGCTATATTTCTTGAAAAATATGTTTTGTCATATGCCTCCAAGATGAATGAAAAATCCAAGAAAAGTATTGATGGATTCAAGTAAATAGGCTGCCTTGTTTAAACAATAAAAACAAATCAAAATATATGTTTCCAACATTTTACATAGCTTGTGCAGTATAATCCAAGTCTAATGTATCCAGTCGTATTCTCACTAACAATTCTCTATTTTTCCAGTATTAGTTGATAGTGGAGGCATGAAATGAAATCAAGAATTAAAGCCAACACAGGTTGAATAACCAATATCAAAATGGTGATTTTGTTGTTGAAGAATTCCTTTTAATTCTGCCTGACTAACTCATTTAAAGTGTCTTTATACAGTATGTTGTAGTGCACTCCTTTTTAACATGCATGTGTTTTACAGAGGCAAATCATGTCCACGCAAAACAGTTAACACGTTTTGAAGTAGTCAGACGATATTAAACTGACATTTTTTGTGGAAGCATGTATTTAACTTGTTGAATTAAGGAGAACAAATAAGTTATTTATGTTAAATTATTTTTGCCCTCCGGTATAAGATAATATTTTACAGTCAGATGATTCCAAAAGATCAAATTAGTAACACAATGGTACTTCTACTCTAATGTTTACCGCACAACCTGCATATATAATTGCTCGGAAATACATCCATACGTTGTCATTTATAAATGAAACATTTTCTTGCAACTTCTCCCTTGTTTCTCTGTGCTACAGGTACATCATAATAGATAGGATGAAGCATACTGCATTGCATACATAGCATCTCCCTAGTTCACCTGAAAGGCTCAACTCAAGTGCATCAAAGTACTTGAAAATAAATTAAATTGTTAGGAGGGCTGGTGCAGGACAGCTTATCAATAGAGAACTGGGGATTTAGGGGAAGCAAAACACTAGCAGACGGCGCTAAGATTCTGCAAATAATAACAATGGCATTGCTGGGGTCTCCTGACAGACGGAGACGAAAACAAACCTGGCTGCTACTTCTCCTGGTTGCTAAGCACCACCTGGAAGTAATGAATATGTTGTTGTCGGCCTGAGAGGCATTTGAGACAGCAGGCGAACTCAAAACTGTCTACTCAGACACATTACAGAGAGCAGGTCTGCTGCTTGTCCTTGATATGGGTTGCCTTGGCTTGCAGATATTCCAATGAATATGTATACTTAAACACTGATGGCCCAAACAGAAGAGTCCTTCAACATTAGATTATGAACCAATTCTGAAGAGGCTCTGTAAGTGGGTAGATATTAAAAAATCCATAATGCTTGGATCTGAAGGGTGTTGAAGGTAAAGTCAGTGTCAGGTGCTCATATAGTGTGAATCAGAGCAGGATGGTGTGGAGACATACTATAGAGTTATTCAGTTTGGATTGATATAGAAATCTAAAAGGTCATGTTCTGCTGCTGTAGCTAATGTCTGAAAGCTTCCAGTCAGTCTTACTTAAGAAGGATGACTCACCACCAGTGTTGGGACTAACGCGTTACCTTGTAACGCGTTACTGTAACGCCGTTATTTTTGGCAGTAACTAGTACTCTAACGCATTACTTTTTTAATTCAGTAACTCAGTTACCGTTACTACATGGTGCGTTACTCCGTTAGTTTTTTTTATATAGTCAACAGCCAGGCGAACAGAGATGAGTACTGTACTTTTTCTAAGTAACTAAAACGTTACTTTTCACAGTAACGCATTACTTTTGGGTGTAAGTAACTAGTAAAGTAACTGCGTTACTTTTGAAATGAAGTAACTAGTAATGGTAACTAGTTACTGGTTTTCAGTAACTAGCACAACACTGCTCACCACACATCCTGTAGAGTCCAGTTTCCGGTCAGAGATGCAGCGGAAGTTGCGGCTGCAGCCTCCGTTGTCTTTGGTGCAGTCTCTGACCGGCCCGAAGGAGTCCAGGAGGACTTCCAAGGAGTCGAAGGATGAACTGATCATCAGTTCCTCTCTGTGAAAGCAGAAATGAATGGCAAAAATAGGTTAATGTCAGGGTGAGCGAAGCAGGCAGGACCCAAATGCAGGACAGATATAGGGTTTAACAGAAAATACCTTTAGTTCAAGGCTACAAGTCTTAACATACAGAGCAGAAGTCTCTCCCTAGTGAACATATACAAATATTACTTTGACAATCAGACACAGGAGGGCAAACACAGGATGGAGTCCAGACCATAGACTGTATATATAAAGGTCCAGACACAGGGAAAACAGTATTTCAAAATAAAACCGGAAACTAAACACACAAAACTAAAATCATGACAGTTACTGATTTGCTATTAACTATCATATAAGCTGTGTTGTACTTGTCATTTTAAAAATAACCCTGCTCTGCTGGAGGTTAATCTACTCCACCGCGGATGGTTTGAAATCATGTCACAAATATTGAATGTGCAAAGCCAGTCACATTGGCTTAGTTAGCTATTGTGTATGGATAGCACTAGCTTGTACAGTCTTATGGAGTGTTCAGTTACAATCCCTGTACTGTAATTCATAGTTTGGCAGCAATATAAAAAAGGACCCACCACCACTAATTGAAATCTAAAACCCTGACACTACAGAAAGTGGAAGGAAGGGTTTAACATAGATAATTAGGTTTCCTTGAGCACAATTCCTTCATGAACAGTTCCTTTATACCACACATGGTGTAGGTTATAATGCACATTCTCCTTAAGGAAAGATAATGATTGTGAGTGAAATTCAGAATTTAATTAGCTGTACATCACTGTCAGCAATATGCAATTAGCTTTCATCAAAATTGATATGGCATTCCATTTCTTTAGATCACTGTTCATGTGTCTGGGAAGCAGACAAGAGGAACTGTCACTACACTGCGTCAACATTCTACTTGTAATGACACTATGTGACAGAGTGCTCTCTTGTTCTCTTAATGAAGAGATATATATTCCCATGAATTAAAAATTGCTTGTTTGAATGTTATGTGCAATCATCAAGAGAAAAGTTGTAACTGCTCAACCAGATTGCTATGCAAAGTAGCAGATTCTGAGATAAAAAACACCATGAAATTCTGATCCAACCTTGCTTTGAGAAGCTGTTTTGGTGGTTTCCCAAAAACTTTTTGAAAGGTCAATAAGCAGATCATCCAACAAAAAGACTACAGTACAATTGTTTGGGATTGGTTGAGATGAAAAATAAAGCAGGAGGGACCTCAGTGTTTTCCTACAGAATATAAATCGGTTATTCCTGCAGATTAATAGTTCTCCTGACGATAAAGAAGAACTTGTATAATAGCATTGCCATGAACCATGTCTTGGTAAATAAAACGTTGACCTCTCAGGCATTCACATTTTTTCCCCAACTACCCGTACTCCCTTGCTTCCCCATGAGAAAATACAGTGAGTTTCCTCCCCTTTCACAGATGTTATCTTACAAACCAATTTTTCTTTTATAATTGCCCATTGCTTTGTTGTCATTTATTCAGAGGGGACCTATTGAACAGAGCCTCGGCAGATGATGAAACTCACAGCAAGAGTGAATGCTAAATTATTTGGGAACTGCAATTACAGTCAAGGCACATCCACCGATCGTGTGCTACACAATATACCAACACATCCTCACTCCCAGGTCGGCCTATGTTGACGTTATGTCAAGTTCCCTGTCGGCTTTTTCCAACGCAAGGGGGGGGGCCTTAGCGTCCATTTTCAACGCAAGGGGGGGGCCCTTAGCGTCCATTTTCAGCTTTCCGGGATGTCCATATGCTTCTATAGACGCTCATGGAAGCACGGCATTCGTTTGTGTCGGCTGCCCTTAAAGGCAATGTGAGCGTCCATTCTCATTGGATAACGGATAATTGTACACCCGGAAGTAAGTATTCCCCTAACTGTCGATTGATTTTACAGTGATATCTGCACTACTCATCGACTAAAAAACACCAGATTATCCTTGTTAATTACACAACATTGATTGGTTTAAATTGTGTGCAATGCTTTTGTATTTTTCCCCTTCGATTCGGAGAAACAAATGTTTTTTCTGAGTAAAGGATGGCAGAAGACACTACACTACCCAGAATCCCCAGCTATCGTTTGGACTACACCATGTGCTCTGTTTGACAAACCCCGTGATAGTCCTCAAGCTCTGTGATTGGAGAGTGTGCTCCGAGGGTTACGCCGAGCCTCGAACAGCACTTGAAATGGGATGGAACCACGCAGACTGTCCAAAACTGGATTTGAACGGGTCCACCGCGTCCCCCCTCCCCCACCCTGTCCCCAGAACTACAAATGCTGGCTATTCTGTTTCGCAACATGTTCTGTATCTATGGCACGTCTCTACTGGGAGTTGTAGTTTTAAAAGACGTTTTCGTATTTCCCATAATAAGAAGTTGCCAGTATTAAACTGTGTACATCCCTGGAGGTTTAGGGGATAGGAAACACTCACATTTAAAACATATAATTAATAAATGGGTGAAAATTGCTTGTGCCCATAATGGGCAGCATTAATATATATATATATATATATATACACACATGCCAGCTAAGGTCAGAAGAGCTTTATTTAACAGCTGGTCTTATGTTTGTGACCCCTGTTGTTAATTGATAACATTACATTACATTACATTAATTGATACGCCTGAAACATGCACTTGTTAAGGTTCAGAGGCACATTTTGCAAATATGGCAGTATAGCCATCGATCAGCTTAAGATAAGATATACTTTATTGATCTCAAGTTGGAACATTTGCGTTACATCAGCATGTGTAACAGTTAAATATGCAGTGGTGTTTATTTGTAAATAATTTAGTATAATCACACAAATTCTGTGTTTTATATTCAACAATTCTGTGTTCTTTATTTATTGATTGTTCAATACCTGACAAGGTCGGAGATGAAATATCTACATACATCTTATAAGAGTATAATACATTATGTATAATATCAGTTAAAATAAGTGCTTCAACATAGTTAACATTGCTGGAGGTATGCACAAATATTGATAGATGTCTTGTAATGCACTATTGAGGAACCTGCGACCCAAGTTTTTCATGCAATGCATAACTACACCATAGTTGTGTAGGCCTATATGATATGTCAATAAACCTTAGAAAATCTTGAAATCTTGAAAGGGATGTGCAAAATAGTCATTATATACAGTCTTTAATGAACTATTAGTAGAGAATAACGAGTAATTAATATACTTTATAGGGATCCTATTAATATCTAATGATAAAAATAATGAAATTCAATAACATGCTTTAACCACTAGGTGTCCCTTTATATCAGCTGTGCACCTTTATGGTGTAAATACAGCCTATCTACCAATTGGATCAAATATAAAAGTCAGCCGAATTAGTGTTGATACTGCAAGGAGATGTATTGTGTGAAAAGAAATGTAAGATGTTGTTTAATGGCTGATATATTTATGATCCACGTCACGTTTTCAGTTCCTCATGTTTGTCTAGAAGTCTTCTCATCAGGGCTCTATAAATACAGAACTACGGCAGATATGTAATATTTAATGCAGCCGAACCGTGTATTACAATGCCGTTATGTGATGACTTCCAAAGAGAAAAGCAAGCACACTCGGAATAAAGTATTATTGTATTTTTTTTCAATGTTTTCGGTCTGTTTCCGTTATTTGTTAATGACGATGTGCTGTGAGATGTGAGACTGGAATTGCACAGGGGAAAATAATGTACGCTATCTTTAGATGCGGATTTTGTTAAACTAATATGTTTTCGCTGTGGACCAACACTATACATTGACGGGGAAGGGGGTAGCAATAAAAATAACACCATTAAACAGTTAAACAACATAACAGAAATAATATCGATAGCAGCGTCCCTAGCAACCACCTTGGTAACAATGAAAACGTTATGGACGCAATTTCCTGAAGTAATCTTCGTAATAACTAGCAAACTATCATGTACATCCACTGCACACATAATCTGAAATAACAACTCATATTTCTCGCATCAAATGACATCAAAACGCATTTTAATGGCCAAACTAACTTTAAAATAGGGATTTTCCATCGAGAATAAAACGAAGTTCGGCCATGTTTTTTTTTTCTTCAGGGAGAAATTTGAAGATCACGTGACGTCAAACAGAGCACATGGTGTAGTACAAACGATAGCTGGGGATTCTGGGTAGTGTAGTGTCTTCTGCCATCCTTTACTCCGAAAACATATTTGTTTCTCCGAATCGAAGGGGAAAAATACAAAAGCATTGTACACAATTTAAACCAATCAATGTTGTGTAATTAACAAGGATAATCTGGTGTTTTTTAGTCGATGAGTAGTGCAGATATCACTGTAAAATCAATCGACAGTAAGGGGAATACTTACTTCCGGGTGTACAATTATCCAGAATGGACGCTCACATTGCCTTTAAGGGCAGCCGACACAAACGAATGCCGTGCTTCCATGAGCGTCTATAGAAGCATATGGACATCCCGGAAAGCTGAAAATGGACGCTAAGGGGCCCCCCCTTGCGTTGAAAATGGACGCTAAGGCCCCCCCCCCTTGCGTTGGAAAAAGCCGACAGGGGACTTGACATAACTTCAACATAGGCCGACCTGGGAGTGAGGATGTGTTCAATATACCAATAAATATCACACAGAACCAAAACAGACATATTTGGTGTCTTTTCTTTGAAGCTTTTACAAGACTAATTGCATCTGAAATGCAAGCCTTATTCTCCTGATAGATGTGGACAACAATTCAGTCACCTGTATCATTTGCTTTGAAAGCAGAGATACATATTTTGGCAGGGGGTTTCATGCCTTAACCATTGGGCAATTAGTAGAGACAAAGCAGGATGGGCGAGATAAATGATCATGATAAGTCGCAAAGGGCTCTGGGGTGAACCGTGAACATTGCAGTTCACAGTCTGTCTATTATCTTTCATCTTAGGCGCGCCACTACACTAATTGTGTATTGGACTGTGAGCAATGCAAAAATGCATCTGAGTGGACAGCAGTACTGTGATTGAAGAGATC